TTTTCACTCTAAAATTTTCACCCTGAAGCCGAAACCATTGTAGACGTCCATGTTTGAGAAAATTCGGCAATGTTGTTATAGTGTTAAGAATAATACTGACATGCTTGATGCAATGAAAAGGGCAATTTACAAACTGCGACCTGTTCGTCTCTTTGTTATTGTTCTAAACCAACCGTGTCATTATATGTTGACATATTTGATATCCGAAGCAAGAATCTGTTTCATAAAACTAGTAAGCATCTCACAGGCGGACAAAGCTATAATGTTCTGATATCAGCTACTTTAAAGAAGGAAATAAGTTCCACGTGAGACGCAGGAACCGTGGCGTTTATAGCCACCTCTTCGTTGCTCAAGATCAGGAAAAAAGTGCATCGCACACAGGGAAGAAAGGCAACATTAAAATACCACAGTCAAATCATTTAAAACATTTTGCAGAGATTTGATTTATAGTGTACTTCATGGTCCGGTAGGAAATGCTTAATTACATTGACGTATGTATTTCGGTTACGTTACATAGCGGCATACCTTAACAACATTGCAAATGGTTCAACAAACAGCTGACGGCAACTGTAAAAAAGGTCTTTCGGTGCATTTTATTCACGTTTAAGTCCTTACGAGCAAAGTATGTGTCTTCGCCCTCTGAAGGTCGGGAGGGGGCGGGGGAGGGGGGGGGAGGGCTGTATGTTCCCTCCGAAAACGTTTGAAAACATGGGGATATTTGGGCCATTTGGAAATAGTGCCGCATTTGCTGGGAACTACAGTTTTTTTCTTTCTCTATTTCAGTATTTGATTTTGAAAAGTTGAGAGGGGGGGGGGAGGTTCGTCACCAGGGGGAATAGTACGATTAAGATATAAAAACTATTTCCTTTTTTCCGTTTTTTTCTGTTACATAAATGCCTGATCATTGACGTCAGACCGCGCTAATACGGGAATGTGTTAGAGAAGACTTAGTCACAATAGGAACAGCCAGTGAAGTGAAACACTTTTGTCGCTGCTTACCCCTAGTGGTGTAGCAAACTTTGTCGGAACATGATTCCAAAACATAATGAAGCTCGCATACATGTGTGACGTTATTCTTATGCTTCAAAAAGTATGTTTCTGACTATGGGAATATTGAAAGTTACTAGAGCACTGTCAAAGTGAAAGTGAAACTATAAAGATTTGAAATTTTACCGAAAATGGCAGAAGAACAATGAAACTTCAAGGAATTGTAAAAAATAATTTGCCCTTACACTAGGATGATAAAATGCGATTGCAAATATTTAATGACGCTTCTGTGCTTCTTGTAGCAGTCTGAGACAAACGCAATTCACAGAAAATTTACAACAACTTGCATATCTTTGTAAATATCGATTGCCTGTCACTTATTTATCCGGAGTAATAAATGGTCTCTAAATGTATTAATGAGTCCCACGGGACATCAATAAAAATAGTTCAATGTGCCAATTGTACTTACTTTCACTGACATGAGCTATATCTGTTTACTCAGAAATAAACTACAAGAAACGGCAGTTCGACAAAATAAATAAATAAATAAATAAATAAAATAAATAAATAAATAAATAAATAAATAAATAAATAAAAACAGCATGTTTCGTTCCACCACACATCCGCACCGGCTTTTTTGACGGAATTCATTTCGTAACCACATTGTAGGCTTTGCAGCTGCCATGAGGTCACCCACCCGAACCAGAATCTTGCCTGTACAAAAAAGAGTGTTCCAACCTAGCGAAAGGACTGTTGAACTTTTAAGAACACGTGCGTGGAATCTTAAGAACACATCTTGTTATAAGAACTACTACCTCAAAATTAGCACTTTCAAAAAAAGTCAAATTTGTTCCAGCGGCAACACGGTAGCCGAGTGAAACCAATCCCAGGTTGACTCCCCACGCGGAAATAAATTGATTCCCGAAATTGAATCCATCAGTTGTCTAACCCCATTGCCAGGTCGAGTGTCGTTATATAAGATAATTCAAGGAAGATGTCCTGCTGATAGACTATGTGTTGTTTTAAGTGAGGTCAATCTACCTAAACTGGTCCTTTTACATACCTGTAACTTATTCGACTTGTCCACGGGCCACGCTCCGGCTTTTTCCTTCTGTACCGTGAACTACACTGAGTGTCGTTCCAGCTCAAGGTTATCTGGATTTCCTAGCTAAAGATATCTCGGTTACCGTCAAACGGGAAGTGGATAGAAAAACCACTTTACCTTTTTTCCACGAAATAATTCGCAGAGGTACTTTCACTTTCGGTTCTAGAGAAGAGCGCACAATGCCGGTGTAATGACTCATTGACTTTCACTTTTTTTTAGCGAATAGAAAATCGATTTTAGGAAGAGACACATAAATGACAAAAACGATAGAAGCAACGGCATAAACCCGTCTTAAAATGATTCACAACCAATAAAGCGATAAAAGATAAGGTGCACAAAACGTTGTTGTCAATTTTATAGTAATATTACATAATATTTAGCGGCATGATCACCACCAGTTTTCACTGTCTGTAGATATTCACAAACTGAAACTAGCGCACCTTAAAATTTTGAGAAAAATGAAAAATTTGCATAAATTATCATTACTCCAAGAAAAATAAATCAGTCATTCTGGAGCTGTATATTACTCTTGTAAGTTTGAAAATGACGAGTTACATGTCATTCTTTTTACGCTGTTTAAAATGAAAGTGACAGGTGACGGCGACGCTAACAGCGGTAAAGACAGGCGATGACAGGTGATGACCACATGTCCAGACTCCGGCACATAGTGTCTGTCCATAAAAAGGGGCAATCTTCACTGGGAGTACAAGCCAGGTCAACTGAAATATCACATGGTGGGGTTTGTCCTGCTGCCATGGCCATTCCATCCTAACTGATACCACGTCTGAGTAGTACTCTCGCCACTTGTCACCCTCTGTCTGTGGATCTTAACAAGTGACAGTAAAGGTGAATTAAGAAATGGGTTTCTAAATAAATCTCTCACCTACCTGAGTCCCCTAATAGAACGATGTCACATGTAAATGCCGAGTCCAAGGTGAATGTGAATCTGTTAGCACTAACCACTTATATCGATTGAATCTACGGGCTCATTTCCTATGAGACTAGCGTTCTATGTAGATCGATCCAACTCCGCTGAGACTCTCGCTGAACACAATCAGAATAAGTAATTAACGCGCATCCTCTTGGCATTGAGTAGAATACTAAAAAAAAAAGCCGATTATTTGGAGTTCGTTGCAGAAATAAGAGGAGGCGTGTTAACCTGTTAATCTGTTTGTATTTAGCTGAGCTGGGTTAATCTGCGTAGAACGATATTTTATTGGGAATGAGCCCTACTTTACCTTAACACGAGAGGTTCCACTCCCCAGGTGTGCGGACGTCACAGTAAATTTAACCTGGGCGTTCGTATTGTGGCCGCTTGCGACTGCAAGGTCAATGCCCCTTATGTAAAAAATCAGAGGCGTGTTTACACTCACCACTTTCCATTCGCTTTTGTAGCGCCCCTCGTGAGCGACTAAAACAAAAACCGTACGGTTTGCGTGCATGTATGATGCATAACAAAACACCAGGAGCTGTTTAAAAAAACATTGCTCGAAAAGTTTGAGTCCACCTTCACCCAAGGTAAATCCCGAGTAGTCCAAAAAAACAAAATATTGCACCTGTTCTTGTAAAAGGAGAAATAAGGATAATTATATACTAGATCGATAATTAGTTTATTCTATTGTTTTATCTTAAACCCAAAAAGAGCAAATTGTTGGCCGAAAAATTTAGACTCAAATTCGGGCCGTATCTTATTTTTTCAGACTGTCTCTGATCTACGGCATGTTAAGGGTCCTAGCGCTATGCAATCCAAATGCGTCGATGCGTTACGACCCATTTCTGGCTCGAACGACGGTCGATCCAAGACCTACGTGTAACTTTGCCTTCCGTGTCCCCTGCATGGAAGAGCGACCACATGGGAAGAGAAATGTTATGTTTTCCGTTCCATTTCCACCAAAATAAAAGCCGTCAGGCATGATTACCGATATGATAGTATTCAAAATGTGAAGACCCATTCTTTAACCTGTCAAGACTCGACCATAGCTTACATAATGATAATAGCACCCATGGTCACGAGAACCATATTTCAGCGCGTTTGACGTTACAAAACAATACTGGCCTATATCACCTGACAATGTTAGAAAAATTCAACAGAGAAAAGACTGAAGGCAATTTATTATAACCTTGACTCTCAGTCTGGATAAAACGTGACCATTGAGCACAAGGAGGTGCGTTGTTTACTTGATATGTGCGGCATCGTAACAAATATGTCAAAAAACAATAAAGACAGGCGTCACGCCAGGTGATGTGAGTTGACAGGGGAGGATGACCCACGCCGACCCGTCGTTACCTGGGAGTTGACTCATAAAAAGAGCTTTAAACCGATATTTGATGAACATTTTTAGACTAAAAAATTGGCTTGGTTCATTTCAGGATAAAACCGCAGAATCTGGATGAAATAGGCTAAATATTGGCCTAAAGAAAAAAAAACAGAAAAATATATTTCTTTTTTTGTTATGAAACAGGCGCACTATTTCTATTAATCAGTTTACTACCGATCTACCTGGAGTCAAAGTGGACTAGAATTGTAGTCTTAAAATTTAGATCGACTTTAGCCGTGTGAAATGAGCAACTTGTTTTTTATTTCATTTTTTTTCTATAGATAACGGGAACAACCAGAAGAACCGCTGTGGGTTTTCATGGGCTGAACCGAAAGATGTTACGAATATAGTCTCAGCACTTCAACTTATTGGATTGTTGTCATCTCTTTCAGCGTGTAGAAAATGCTGAAGGCATAAGCAAAACAATCGCGCAGATGCCTGAACGGTTTCTTCGCAATAAAATTTGCGAATATTCAAGTTCATCTGGAATATTAACTCTGGTATTTTTCTGCAGTTTTTTTTATGGCAAACACGCTTTCAAAAAATATAAATAAACATATAATCAATAATTAAATAAATAAACACAGACCATGGTTACACACATTTATTTACAAAACTTTCAAACAAGTTCGACTGGACGGAATGTTAATTCTGATACCCATTATGTAATAGCTTAGACAACTCCGTATGAATACAATATCTTATTGGGTCGTGAGCTTACTGGCAGTCACTCTACCTCGCTCTTCAGGTGTCCACAAGATGTTTGTGAATAACATTAACTTAAACTAAATCATTATTCACACAAGCGTCTCCTTCTACACAATCGTTTTCAATGCATTTTTCTGAGTTTTAACAGTTATTCAGTTTATAGTCAGGCGGAAGGAAGCTTGATATATCTCTTCTCACATCTTCCAATATTTTCCTTCCAGCTGGAGAGAAGGCTCCATATTGTTGATTAAAAAATATCTTCAAATCTTTGGTGTTAATAACAAATTGATCACGGATGGGTTCTGCACATTTTTCTGTGAGAATTGGTGTAAAATGTCTCGGCAGACGACTTATCGTTTCCCTCCTCCTCTCTCCTTCTCCTTGGAATATTCCATTTCTATCTTCTGCTCGATCTTTTCCCAGTCTATATCAACCTGTAAAAAATGTTCAAAAATAAAAATAAGTCTATATCAAATTATAAAAAATAAAATACAAATTAATTAATTAATAACACATTCAAATAATCTTACTACATATTCAATATCACCATTTAAGTAATTAATACAATTGTTCACTGCCTCGTTTTATGTTTCTGTATTCTGAATAGATAAAAAATTTTACAAAAATTAACCAAAGGAAAACACATTTATTGACAGTGATGATAAAATTATCTTGTTAATAAAAATCTGTCAGAACACCAAGATTTTTTGTACCTTACATACTTAAGTTAAACTGTATTTCAGTAACAAATTATCATCATCAGAGTACTACACACAGTTTTAATCTTCACAACAACAGGTCAATATTGGAATGGAAACAAACTAATATAATTCTCGCTATTGTTGTGAGGAAACTATCACATAATAGTTGTTATTATTAATATGTATCTTGCTAAATTATAATCTACCTAAATCTAAAATTCACCACACCAAATAATTGTCTATCACAAAAATGTCACTTTCATAAAATCCACTATATTATCCGCACATAATGTGCCTCAATCCTCATTTTGAAGACCCTTCTCAAAGCTACTTTTAATATCAGCTCACACTAATTAAATTCAAGTCAGTACCTTTACTGTTTAAAATACAATCAAATTAGTCAACCCCAACTATCCCATGCCTTAACTGGCTCAAAGACAATGCATTTCAATGAATAAATTTGAAGAACAAAAAGAAAAAATCTTGACTGCTGCTCAGTATAAGTGTAATCACTCTGAGAATAGTACCTGAAACTTCTACATCAAAATAACAAGCTTAAAATTTATATGTGTGCCCTGTAACTTTCACGAAAGATTTTATGCCTGGATTTGATCTGATTAAGGCCAAAATATGAGTCCACTTTAACCAAAGATAAATAAGTAGAAGTACAATTTAAGCAAATAAAAAAACACTGCACATGTTTAAAAACATGTAGGGAGTGGTCAATGTACCCATACAATACTTTCTTTATTCAAAATCACACTCAGCAAACTAATACTTTCTGAAGCAGTGCTCTCAACAAAATTCACCACCAATAGATTGTGGTTCAGAATTCCAAGTTGCAGGGATCAGTACCTTCTGTTGACCAGTAGTGAAAGTCAATAAAACTCGAGAGTGTGGACTGGAGGAGACTGTATACACAAGCTCAGTGAGATGTTGGGAGCCCCACTGTCAACATTCCCCCCTCTGCCCACCGAGCACCTTGACAAATATCAGGGGCGGATTTAGGGCGTCTTCTGGGTCTTCCGGAAGACGGTCAGATTTTCAAGTTTACACTGGCGGGTATCTAATTTTTTTCTGTTTGAAGACGGTCCAAATGAAGAGCGGATCAACAAAGATAATTTGGAAGACTGTCAGGAAATAACTCTGAATCCGCCCCTGAACATTTCGAATTAAGCAATGAAAAATCTTGACCTTGAAGCCCTCAAGATGGAGACACAGGGCGCGTTCCCAGTGAAACTTATTATTCTATGTACATCGATCCAACTCCACAAGCTGACTAGCTGAATGCAATCAGATTAACTGAATTATAAGCCTCCTTTCACAGCTGGGGCCTTGGGGGGGGGTTAACCTTCTTGTGCATTCAGTTGCACTCAAAGCATAGCAAAAAAAGCTTCTAGATGCCTGGTGTACAGGAAAGTTCTAATCGGCCTAATTTCAAAGTTTTCCAGACATGTCCTATACAGGTCACAGAGATGATTGAGCCCCATGTTACAGACATGCCAAAATGCCATGGACCATAAAAGAGGGAGAGTTATTTTGCCTTGTTACTTCATCTGTCATGTCCAGCTGTAACCCCTGAGACTGTACAATGTATTCCTTAGATACTTTCCACAAGTGTGCTCCATGAAGCTAGGTTAAGTTAATCAGTTAGCCATGTCAAGCACAAGGGTTCCATAACCATGAAGTTTTTTCCACCTACCAAAGTGCACTTATACAGCTGTTATCAATTAAGTATCCAACTCTGTGAGAGAATGTCCCCAAGTTTCTGACAATGAAGGACTAAAAACGAACTTGAGTTTTGTGAAGTCTGCTGCTTTTATTTTAACACAATATCCAAGAATTGCAAGCAAGGAAAGCTTCTCACTTTTTCTCTTTTGAAATTGGTGGTTCACTGTGTCAATATTGTTAAAAGGGAGCAAAAAAATGTACTTCAATGTTCAGCATTGAGAAAATACCTAGCTGTTTGCTCTTTGCAGAAATTAGTTATCCCAAAATAATAGCAGTGACTTGCAAAAACTTTGACAATCCTATCATTGACCTTTTTTGCTCAATTCATGTCTGTAAGATTTTATTAGAAATCTAATGCTTTGCAGAAATAAAAGTGAATGTCATATTTCTAAGTATCCCAAAATAATACAAGTGACTTGCAGAAACTTGAGAATCCTATTATCGATAATCTTTTTGTTCATTTTCAGCTGTAAGACTTTATTGGAAAAATAATGCTTTGCAGAAATAAAAAGTGGCTGTCGTATCTTTAATTATCCCAAAAAAAAAAACAGCAGTGACTTGCAGAAATTTCTCTATCCTAAAATCAACCATCTTGTCATCAATCTTATGCCTGTTATGCTTTATTGGAAATATAATACTTTGTCAACTTTGTTAACTGCAATGAGAATAACCGTTACAGTGACTTGCATATTTCTCAAAGCTACAACTTTTGTCCCAACAATAAACTTACCGAGGTCAAATGTTGATTCTGTAGCTAAAATTTGCTAATTATGTGACAAATATCTTAGCTGCTCAATTTACTTAAAAATTTTCTGGATTAATCATACACAGGTATAAGTAGCTGTAGGCAGTGGTTCCATGACTGTGTAATATTCCATACAAAGCTCCGATGCCTAACACTAGCAGACAGTTTCAATAAAGGACTGAAGTTCTTGAGCCAGGTTAAGACATTATAACTAGTATAGCCAATGTCTTTTCCATATTGGTTTTAGAAAATTGCCAAACAATTAGAACCTTAAGACATGTAGCTAACATGCTGTCAAATCTTAAACCGTGAGGAGTGGAAACTGATGCTAAGACAGTCAGAGTTTGGTTTGATTTAAGGGCTGGGCTTCAATAAAACCAACAGGAATGAATAAATAAATAAATAAATAAATAAATAATTAAAATTTAATTGATGTTCTTTTGTGAGCCAGGTGCCAAAACCATGTTTTCATTATTTTTCAAGACAGGTGTATTATGGACAAAACATGAGACTTCTCATACCTTCCCAACAAAAGATTATGCGGTGCAATAAAGACATGTAAAAACTTGGTAGTGAAAACAGCCAACACAAAAAGAGAAATTAGTATCAGTACACAGTTGTGTTGTAAATTTCAATATCATCTCCCCTAGGTGACTAAATTTCAATATCAATACAAAACCAGTTCCTACTAAATAACAAAGTGATGTAAAGTTCTACAAACAACATGTACCTTGTCCTCTGACTGTTAGTTTGTTTTGAAAATGAAAATGTGTAATGATATATTATGAAACATTATCACATCATAAAAAAAAAATTACATTGTTTTTTATTTTTGGTTTAGATTTTTTCTTCAGAGACAAAAACATTTCTTTATGAAATAAACTGTTTCAGATACTCTGATGAAAGATAAAATCCCTTGGACTTCAGAGTTCTTCACTATCATATTCATATACTAGCTAAATCTTTTTTTATCAAAACTGCTTAAACTGAATATTCTTGTGACTGGAACAAGGATTCCCAAAGTGGCAGAATAATGCAGATTTATACTGTACATGGGCAAATGATATAACTTTAAACTTAAAATTTCTCCATTCCCAAAGTAATAAAGTTGTGTGAAGTCTACTGTACAAGGGTAAATAATATGAAAACTTACCCCTTTTGCATACTGCTCAAATCTCTTGTCTGTCTCTGTCCTGTCAAACACCTGTAGATATTTCTGTCTGTATGCCAGAACTGTGTCTACATGAGTCTTGTGTTTCACTGCCAGCTCCAGGGCTCTGAAATATACCATCATTTTATACCATAATGTGAAAAATAGTGATCCTGTAAGCAGTTATCAAGCAAAATACGTATACCATGTTGTGAATCTGTTTGTTAGTAGTGCTAAGTTTTCAACTGAAACACTGACTCATATTTCCCTAAGTTACAACAGATGAGGAAGCTGTTCATTGTTACTAACAAACAAACTTATTGTGTTAAATTTTGTAACTTAAAGTCAACCATAACACCAATTTCCTTTTTCTATCTGCCAACATACTTAATCTGCACCCTCCCACTGAAGATGGGTGTCCTCCCCCCCGTCTCTCTCTCTCTCTCTCTCTCTCTCTCTCTCTCTCTCTCTCTCTCTCTCTCTCTCTCTCTCTCTCACACACACACACACATACACACACACACAGACACACTCANCTCACACACACACACACACACATCTTACCTGGACCAGTTATACAGCTGTATATTCTGCATGATGGCCCTGAACACCAGCCCAGCCTGCAGCAGGATGCCCTCCGCGTCTTGAGGGTTGCCAGAGAACAGAGCCATCTCTGCATTCCTGGCCTCCTTCAGTGGGATCTCCTTGATCTGGAGGATGTACTGCACCTTGTCAGCCTGGGGAGGGAAGATGGGAAGATGGGGGATAAAAATGTAAAGGTAGGTGTGGGAAAAAATGTGAAATATGAAAGAATAAGCTGTGAAAATGAAGGTGATGTCTTCCCTTTATCATTCTACAGAAGGGCATGTAATGCGGTTAATATACCGATGTAACTGGTGAAGTAAACTTCAGTCAAACGCTGCTCAAGTTCAATATGTATGGAAATTTGAAAATGAAAAGGCTAACTCATGACACTTCTGACTAATTGAACAAAGTAACACATATGCTCACCTCATTGATGGCAGCATATGCCACTTCAGCTGTATTCAGCTCCTTGGCATAGGCGGCCATAGCAGCAAGGCAGGACCACATTGTGTCATCCTGAAACCAACAATAAGATTTATGAGATCATGGAAATGCTCTGGTGATAAAATTTATGAGCATGTACTAAGACAGGCAGACCCATCTGCTATGGTAACAGGCCTGAGTATGTAATAATTTAGATTGCCCTATATGCCGTGGAAAGAGGCCTGCCTATGTACTAAGATAGGCTGACCTATCTACTATAGAAACAGGCCTGAGTATGTACTAAGATGGGCAGACCCATCTCCCATGGAAAAAGACCAGAGTATGTACTAAGATAGGCTAACCTATCTCCAGTGGAAACAACACTCCTGAGTGTATACTAAGATAGGCTGATCCATCCCTAATGTAAACGGGACTTACCTTGACAAACCTGCACAGTCTGACAGCATCTTCCCACCGCGACCCCATCACAAAGTTGTGCAGCATGGCCGGGTAGGGGGAGATGCCTGTGCTGACCAGAGAGCCATCTGCGCGGCGCAGACTCACGTGACTGCCCAGGAAACTTAGCAGTTGTGGGTTCTTGCCAAACTCACTGGAGGAGAGAAGATACCATATTACTGATCTGGACAGAGAGATAATCTTCTTTTTTCTTTCTTTTTTGTTATGCAAATTTTTATACATATTCAATTATAAATTTGTAAACAACACTAATCTATGCTGAAAGCCATATCCTTCTGCTACTAGTTTGACTATTTTCCACACTTCTACATAAAATTGCTTTTTCAGCAAATTTACAACTCAAAGACAAATTATAATAGTCAAAGGAGATGTCAAGAGATTTACCTGGCATCTTTTTCACAGACTGTCTTTGGCAGCAAATCTCTGTCTACGTACGCCACGTTAGGATAATACCAGACTGTGAACTTCCCATCAGCCATTGCAGCTAGCATATTACTGTTGTCATTCCAGACTTGAGACAGAATCATTGTGCCTGATGGATTAATACATAAATTAACAGCTAGCATGTTACTGTTGTCATTCCAGACTTGAGACAGAATCATTGTGCCTGATGGATTAATACATAAATTAACAGCTAGCATATTACTGTTATCATTCCAGACTTGAGACAGAATCATTGTGCCTGATGGATTAATACATAAATTTACAGCTAGCATATTACTGTTATCATTCCAGACTGGAGACAGAATCATTTTACCTGATGGATTAATACATTAATAAACTAATAAACAAAGAAACACTAAGCCAAATATTATTATTAACCACTGCTTTGGTGCAAGCATTTTAACATTTTAATTAAAAATTTGAGATGATCCACCATCTTATGGTAATAAAATTAATAAGCTTAAAATAAGTTGATCTGTTTAATAAATTGTTAAAAGATATTAAAAGATATTTCTTTTGTGTTCACAGGCACTTGACTGTAGGTGTCCAATAGACACAAATATGACACAAGTTTATGCTTGTGAAAAAAGAAAAGATAGAAAAAGAAATATATATGATCTTATAATAAACTTGCCTTCAAATGAGACATTTAGATATCTTGCAAAAAGAAAAATCACACTACAGTAAACCAAGAAATGCTAACCCAGTTTGACAGTCTTTCTCTCTGTACCAAATGTTCTAACAGAGGTGAGGTACAGGTCTCTGTTCTTGTCTATGATGGCCAGCCGTCTCTCATTGGAAGGACCACACTGGTCCAGAGCTATCTCCATTACTTCCAGCTGGAAACAGACACACATGTGTATACAAATTTACATCATTTCTGAAATGTTTATATTTTCACTTTTCATCTTTAATTCATCTTGCAACATTCTATTTATTTCTATTTATTTATTTGTTTGTTTGTTTTTTTTTTTTGAGAGGGTATCATACTGAATGAAAATATAGCTATCCACGCTGCCCTTGAGCTATTCTATATGATAAGTGAATTTCATCCTACAAAAATTTCTTGAACAAGTGTTAAAAGATTTCTACACCCCGCTCTCCCACTAAAAAAATACACATTAAATCCTAGCCAGAATACCTTGTGTGTGATGGGTTTGCCATCTCCCAGAGGTTTGCCTGTAGTCGCCTCAAACAAGTGGATCACTGAAATATAATGATATACTGTTATAGCTCTTCTGACTTTCTATAACCTTACTTCTGGAATTTGACTTTAACTTGCTGACAATTCTAGTTAGCCAGAAAAAAAATTAATAAATAAAAAGTAAAAGTTAATTTAAATCACTGGGAAGAATTATACTTTTAACTTTCATCTATTACATTCAATGGTCTCTGACTGACACTGTCCGCCTGAAGTGGCACAGAACCTTGATAAAATTTTGATTCACTGACAAATACGTAGGACCTTTCCCAGCCAAAAAGAACTGTTCTTTTGAATTCCTCACTCCTCCCCTACCTATATATATCTCCATATCTTACCTTTTTCATCTGTCTTGTCCCTGATGGCCACTGTGTCATTGCTGATGGTGACGGTCTGTGCATTGAGGACATCTGTTCTCATGCCTTGGAACTTAGGTGAACACACCAGTCTTCCCTCATAAGAATACACATGGACACCAACATTGTCTGCCAGCAGGAAATGTCTGGAGGAATAATAATAATAATAATAATAATAATAATAATAATAACATTTAGACAGAGGACATCTTTTTATCATTATTAGCGACATAAAATTTGATGCTACAGTCGTAATATTAAAAATTGCTATCATTCTTAGAAAAGTAAGTAAGCCATTGTACAGGGAAAGGAGTACAGAAAAACATCAGCAAACTTTTAGCATTTCATGTGTGGCCTTCGCTTTTTTTACTGGCTCTTTGTGAATACTTTTTATGGCATTGAAACAAATAAATGTGCATGTGCCATGAAATATGGGTGAAGATGTCGGTACTTACTTCTCAGCCTGCAGTATAAGGTTAACAGCGCCCTCTTTCAAATCAGATATCATGGGAGTGTTCCAGTTACGCGTGCTGATATTAAAGCAAAAAGTAAAAATATTTATTCAGTCTATTTCCTCAACATTTGCACTATCTTCCAACTACCTGAAATTGAGTATCCTTTATTTTCAAATGTTTTATTTCTATTTCAACTGACCTATAAAACATATTAGAGTCAAACTATGTACCAACAAAATCAAATCTATTCTATTACTCCAAACTGCTTGGATTCTTCTTGGTTAATATCTAAAACAGAGGGCACCACTGAACTGTAAAGCCCCAGCCTTATGTGGCTCTCTAAAATTTTAAAACGGGCAGTTTAAATCTTCAAGATCCATATCTAAACATATTCTATACTACCTGTACACATAACACTGCGAGGATGTAGTGACTACTAGATGGTTGAACCCCAGCGAGGTTTTGATAATCCTGTCTCTAAAGTCTAGCTTGTCTTTGGTATCGTCCACTACATTCCTGACATCTATAGTCTTGGCTCCTGTCACTGTCACCTCAAAATTCTTCCATTCTAGACGTCTGAAACACAGAAAATGACATTAATTTAATTATCAAAGGAGCAGAGATGAGTATAAACTTTATGAGTAAACTTGTAAAGCGAGTTTGTTTGACTTAACACCACATTCTATTTACTCCATAATCCTTTTAACCTCAATACAACTAAAGGGACATTGATAGTGAGATGATGCATACAACAATGTACTTCAAAACAATTAAAAAAAATGTTCAAAAATATTGCCAATGTCAAAACTTTGAGCTGATACACAACCCAAGCAACAATTAATAAATCTGTCACATTCATTTTATTCAGTTTGACAAAAAGCTGGGGCCCAAACACTTACTTTTCCACCAGGTGTGCAAAGATCACATGACCATTCCCACAAGCCCCTGCAACCTGCGTGCCGTCACTGGACCACGATAATGAAAAGATGCTGCCTGTGTTGGGCTTCTCCAGGGCATAGGACCACTAGAATAGTTAAAGATATATTCACTTTATTTATCAAAAAAAAAAGAAAAAAAAAAATTGCCACGTCAGACTATGACAAGTTCATCCCGCTGTGTACTCACTACTGAGCTGTGTTTTTTTATTTAACATGCAGTATGCAATAAAAGTAGCTCTGAGATGGACACCACCCGGAAAAAGAAAGAGAGGAAGGCCCAAGACCACCTGGCGCCGAACAATGATGGCAGAGCTGAGGGAGGGGGACCTTACATGGGGACAGGCCCAGCACGTAGCCAGAGACAGGGCCAAATGGAAAGAAGTGACTGTGGCCTTATGTCCCACGCTGGACGAAGAGCAATGATGATGATGATGATGCAATAAAAACCCGAACAATAAGGATTACAATTATTCTACAAAGACTTTTTTTTATCTCTCTTTAATCACAAATCAACAAACCACATCCACCTACCCCAGCCTTATCACACAGTCTGAGAGTGTTAAAGGAACACCTACCCCAGCCTTATCACACAGTCTAAGAGTGTTAAAGGAACACCTACCCCAGCCTTATCACACAGTCTGAGAGTGTTAAAAGATCCAACAGCAAACAATTCCCCATCAGGTGTCCAAGCCACGGAGGTGATGGGGTAGTCATGGGTGACACTGCTGTACAGAAGACGGCCATAGTGGTCCCACACCTGGAATATAAACACAGATTTCTTCTACAAAACACCTGTCTAAATGAGCCCACGCCAAACACTTGGGTCCTTTATTACAAAAGGTCTTAAGTACGTGGACTTAGATTCGACTGCTAAAATCGGGCAGTCGACTATGCAAAGTGCTTGGATTTTGCAATATTAGTCTATGTAGGAATAACTTACAGATGCAATCAGTTAAGTCGACTGTACTTTTATATACTTTTTTCCAAGGGATTCCCTCCTAACTGGACATTATTAACACATGCTCTTTTGAGATGACGATGCGTTGTCTTCTGCCGCTGCAGTACTAGATGTAAGAGCATCCTACGCACCTGCAATAAGTCTTTCTAAGCTGAGCATTTGGTATACAACATGGGATAAAAACAATTTACCTTGTACTTGCAGTCCTCTCCCCCAGACAGTATCAAGTTGTTGGAGGCATTCCAGTCAGCTTTCAGTATCACACCGTCATGGGCCTTCCACTAGAAGACACAAACAGTTGTATCACAAAGCAATTAAATTTATTCATATCTTATACTAGAATTTGAATACATTAAGTTTGAGCCAAATTTTAAACCCATGTACAATTCTTCTTTCAAAAAAAGAGGCCAATTAAAATAATATATAAATTATTATTTCATGAGACAAAAACTCCTCCATAAACTTTCATAAGAATAATAAACTGAACTGACCATGACAGGTTTGGCGTTGGCCTGCATTGGCTTGATCACCAGCTGTTTACCATTGGTCAGCAGTATCTGGTCATTATCTGGACTCCAGCACACAGAATACACTGGGCTACCTGAAGGTATAGCAGGTATAGAAGGTATACATAAAAACTATTAGCTTAGTCTATGAAGCATGTCTTCTATTAGTTGACTGGTGAATAATTATACTTTCTTCTGAGGTAACATTTACAACTGTTATAAATAAGAAGTTGAAAGTCATGCAATAATATAATGGTTCTATTTTGTAATTCCAGAAATATGTATTCCACTGGATAATATAATATCTGAATATGTATGTTTTATCACATTACATTTTTAAGCACAGTTATATGCTTGAATTGCATATTAATCTACAATTTAAATCTCCATAGAACACAAGGTGACTTACTGTTCTGGACTAGAGTTGATCTCAACATTCCACTTCTTGACCAGATTTTTACAAGGCCATCTTCTCCAGCTATGGGAACAGTAAAGAAATGTTGTGAACAGATCTTGTAATCATCATAGTGGTAGTAACACTACTGCCACTACTAGTTGCTATATCAACAGCTACTACTACTATTAATAAAAACAAAACAAGGCAGCAAAGCTGTCAAATGTACAGACAAAAAACAGGGAAAAAAAGATGCAAAATAGGTCAATTTGTCAATTTTGATGCAATAATAAATAATGCTTATAATAGCACAGTCTGTCAACAGTGATTTTTAATCATGCACAACAGGTAACATGGACAATAACAGGAGCAGATCCAGAGATATTTTCTGACAGTATTCCAAAGTATCTATGTTGATCCATCCTCCATTTTGATGGTCTTCCAACAGAAAAAAAATAGATACCAGTCAATATAAACTTAATAACCTGACTGTCTTCCGGAAGACCCAGAAGATGGTCTCAATCCACCCCTTCAATAAGATTACAGTTTCAGGACCATGAGAGACCAAAGTCACATGATGAAAGTCTCAATATTTGAAAAATGAC